CCGCATTTGAACTTTATTATATATATATATATATATATATATATATATATATATATATATATATATATATATATATATATATATATATATATATATATATATATAATTATTTTTGTAATTATATATTTATATTTTTATTACGTTATGTTAGCATATAAAATTATTTTGTTTCTCAAGTTCAAGATCATGTAATTATATATGATACCATTATCTTATTTATTTATTTTAATTTATATATATATATATATATACCTCAATTTTAACCAAACATAGGAATCTAATATTTCCAGTAATCTAATATTCCCAGCAATCTAACATTTCCTAAGGTAATCTAACATTCCGTGAATCAAACGGCCCCTTAATGTGCGTCTTTGTAACAATTAAGATGTGACATTTTAACACTTAGCTTTTGTATTCCCAAGAAGCGCATTTTGTTTTTAAATTTTCATTGATTTGAGCCGTTGATCTAGATTTGATCAACGACGCATATCTCACCCCATGTTTCACTTAGGAGACTCTTCGCACCATATCTTTTCTATATATATATATATATATGTGTGTGTGTGTGTGTGTGTGTGTGTGTGGACATTATAGTAAATTGATCTACATAACCTAAAAATATAATCATTAACCAGAAAAGGTAATAATATATTTCCACAATTTAAACCAAACATATAGAGCTTGTTTGAAAATCATCGGTTAGCAAATTGTGTTAGTTAGCGGTTATCAGATAGCGGATTGTATTAACGGTTTGTAAAAAATGTTTGGTAAAATTAGCTGTTTAGGTTAACGCTTAACATGTAAAATGACCTATAAGGGTATACATCATCACCACCACCACCACCACCACCACCACCACCATCAGGCAGGAATCCAGTGAAGGCTCATTGTGGAGATACAAGAAGAATTATACAGAGATACACTAAGCTTTATCATCAGGATAGTTTTAATTTCTTGGGTTTCGATCTGGATTAGTTTTTAGTGAAACCTAGGTAGAGTTGTGTCGCATGTACTAATGTTTCCAGAATAATGTTTCTCAAGGCATGGAGTTCAGACACCGATGTTGTTGATGGAGGAGAAAGAGAAAACCCGTCATTAAAGCAGGGGAAAAGCAGCATAGCTCCGCCATTAGGTCTTCCAATGTTAGGTCTTGCTGAGAACGGGAATGAAAAGGGGAAGAAGGAAGGAGATCTGAAAAGACGAAATTACCCCCTATCTAACAGGCCATCTAACGGGAATATTGACGGAGGACCAAAATTGTCCTCGTCACAATAATGGTGTCCACAAATTGTCTGATTTTTTTAAAATGACTAAAATTATCTGTGCCACTATAAATATAGGACCAAAAATGTTTTTTACTCTATAATGACATCCAAAGCACTAACATGAACAAAAAAATCAAAACAAAAATTTAAAAGCACTAATCCAAACTTAAAAAATCAAATTACGAATATATAAGATGGAATGATACCCTTTTTAATTAAGGAATGTGGTTCTTAATTTGAAGGGGTAATAAAAAATCCTATAATTGTGTTCTAAAAAGTTATCAATCAAACAATAATTATAATTTTAATTTTTATTCATAGTGTATAAACTCATGAACCAAATGCACCCTAAATGAGGTACGTACTCCATGCATTATCTATCTATCCATCCATCCGTAGATTGATTAAAATAGCGAGGATGAAAGCGTATAGATTGAAGTTTGGTTTGAAGCTAAATCAAAATGACATCCTACCTGCCCCACTACACTTAGATAGATGGATAATGCATGTATGTTTAATGAATTGAACTAGTGTTGACGGATGAACCGAAGCCATCGTAGTGTGTATATATACTGAGAGTAAATGTTTACATTTTGAAGTAAATGATCGAAGTGGTAAACAATAATATAATTTAATTAGTAAATGGTGGAAAGGTGTTAATTATATATATAGTTGCTGGCTCAAGAAAGAAAAATATAAGTCTAAGGGAGAACACGTGAATGGTAATGATGCAGAAGGTTATTTAATTATACAGTCTATGACTATCAGCTTATTATTATTTGGTGATAACATACATATTCCTACCCGGCCTTAGCTTCTCCTGCATGCCTTATGCCTCTATGGCTCTATACCTATAAGATTCTCCTAAATCAATTACTCTGATCTCATTATATATATATCATATTTTGCCAAATTTTGCTAGATAATTATTTGCCAATATATGTTATTATATGTATTCTATTTTTTAATTTCATTTTTCACACGCATTTGTTTCATTATCATAACAACACTAAAGTATTATTTTAATTATACTACAGTTTCATTTAACATTATGCATTATTACATGAGCTCTATTTTTTAGTTTTATTTTTCATACACTAGTTTCATTTTAGCAACACTAAAGTATCATTAACTCTACTACAATTTCATTTAATTTGGCAATCATATTATATCATGGTTCACATAGCGTTGTGTAGTAGTCCATTGTATAACGCACAATTGTAAGATTGCAAGCTAGGTACACAAGATCCCTGCGCGACCTCCATGTCTAGCTTCACAAATTATTCTGTGGATTTGAGACCAAATGTTCACAATTTAATTACCTTTTAAAAATTCACAATTTGTATATTACGAACACATAATGTTAACATATATATAATTGATTACATTGTTTTGTATTCATAAGTTCATTTCAAATACTGCAGTCACACAATATTAACATATTAAGATTTGATGACCATTTATTGTATTCACAAATTCCTTCTACAACTGTTATGTGTTTTGACTTAGAAACACGTACAATTTATATTCTAGAAGTTTGATCACAATTTCAATACTAAAAATACACAATTTATACGTCGTTTAGACAAAGGTCCACCTTGCAAGGTGGACCCTGGTCCATAGTATAATAACTCATCTGCATGGGATGAGCGAATTATTGTGTGGACCATGATCCACATAGTGCTATGTGAACCATAACAAAAAGTACATTATTTGTGTACTGAATGTGTATTATAGCAAATAATATAATTTCAATACTCAAATAATGTACTTTCCCTGAATACAATGTACATTTTTAATATACTAAAAATATATAATTTATGTATTGAATGTACATTGTTTAATAGTATATAGTCCACACAATAATGATTGCTTTGGACATTACCCAACCCTCTCCTTTGGGCCCAACTATCCATCCAACGCAAATTATGCATGGTGCACAAGGTTGCAAAACGACACCATTTACTATGATGGAGTAACGGTGTCATTAGTGGCACCGTTTAACTCCACCAATCAAATAATTTTTTTTTTTTTTTTTTTACAAAAACTCAAATCGACGTGTAATTATGAATATATAGTTATGCAAGTCTGAATATATAGTTATGAAGTTATGGATATATAGTTATGAAGTTATGGATATATAGTTTTGAAATTATGGATGTGTAATTATGCAATTATGGATATGGTTCTCTGTGACCGAACAAACACTTTAAGAATTATGAATATGGAGTTATGTAATTATGAATGTCTAGTTGTGAAATTATGAATATATGGATATGAAATTATGAATGTGTAGTTATTATTTCTGAATGTACTATTGTCAAATTATGAATATATAGTTATGTAATTCTGGACATATAGTTATGTAATTCTGGATATATAGTTATGAAATTGTGGATATATAGTTATGAAATTGTGGATATATAGTTATGAAATTATGGATATATCCTACTGTTTGAATATGAAAGGAAACCGCCTAACACCGTTAACGACAATCCGAACGAAATTTTTTTTTTTTTAAAAAATGAAACGGCGTCGTTTTGCAACTGTGTGCACCATGCACACGGTTGCACAGCATAACGATTGTCCATCCAACTCCTAGGCCCAATCCTTATCTAAGTCCTTAGTGAATCAATTGTTATGCCGTGGAACCATGTCCACCTTGCAAAGTGGGCATGGTTCTATGTTCATAATTACTGAACTCTATGTTTATAATTATAAAACTTTATGTTCATAATTTTTTAATTTCATATTTACAATGATTGAATTCTATATTCACAATTACAGAACTCTATGTTCATAATTACTGAACTCTATATTTATAATTATTGAACTTCATATTCACAATTATTGAACTACATATTCATAATTACAGAACTATATGCTCATAATTATAGAATTCTATGTTCATAATTTTTGAACTCTATATTCACAATTATGACAATTTTAAAACTGTGTCCGCAAGATGGACACGATTCCACAACATAATTTGCCCAAGTGAATCATTGCATAAACCATTGGTCAATCATTGACTGAGCCCTTAATCAATCCTTGCCTGAGCCTCTACTCTGGACCTAACTATCTCCGATCCAAGCCTAATACCCCATTGGCTGCTATTGCCGCCATCACCACAATATTGTCTGCTTGACTGCTTGTCATAATTATTTATATAGAAATGTAAATGTACCTAAATAACTTTTTAAAATAATAGACACAATCCTATGTGAAAATTCAATCTAAAAGGTGATAATTCAAGTAATTCATATAAGTATATTCATACAATTACACCACCACTACCACCACTATTATTATTATTATTATTATTATTATTATTATTTTAAAGTTTAAAATTTACCTGATTTTTAACAATTTAAATTTGTCCACATGTTCTTACTTAAAGATTGGTTTTAATATGATCGAATTGGATTCTCTTTCTCCATATATATATATATATATATATATATATATATATATATATTGAATCCGGTGCATCCCCCTTGCCAGGTGAGCTCGTGAGCCCTTTTTCTGGCCGTTGATTTTTTTAATTCAATGGTTCATATTGAGTTGTTGTTATGCCCAGGTGCTTGATTTGATTGAATATAGGGGTTGTTTTGTACTTTGCCATTGAGTTTAATTATGTTATGCATTTAATGTCGCTGGGGTTTGTGCTTTGGTATTTTTGGTCTCATCATCTTTCATCTCTATCGCTTCGTAGAATAGACAGTCTCCCGCTTCCTTCCATCCTCTGCCTTTTCATCGTCCATTGCACTCTCCCGCTTCCTTCTCAGCGTCCGGTGGTCGAGGAGACTTCGGAGCAACTCGTTGGGTTCCATGGCAGGTATTCGTCTTCGCCCCCTCCCCCCCCCCCCCCCCTTTTTTTAGGTATGTTTGTTTTCATTTTTTGATCGGTTTTGTTCTCGATTGAAGGGGTTGGGGTTGATAATTCTCGGGTGTGTAGTGTTCGTGCTTATTTTATGTGGTTTCTGTGTTTTTTTTTTTTTTTCTGTGGGGTTTTCACCGGGATGTGGGGATTTTGACGGTGGCCGAATTCTGGTAGGTTCATGAGCGGAGGCGTGTGTAGCTACGGGTTAGGGTTTGAGTTCTGATTTATGTTTTTTTTTTTAAATTTTTATTTAAATATTGGGGGTTTTGGTATTTGAGGTTTCTGTAGCACTGTACTTTTTTTTTTTTTTCAAGAATGAGATTTTATTACTGCAAAGAAGTAATTTCTTCCACAAAGTTTCCAAATCTCTAATGCAACTGAATTACTTAGAATGTCTGTTTTTTTTTTTTCCTTGGGAAAAATCTAATCTGCCTCCATCTAAATCAAGTAAATCCACCCTCCTTACCAATTAAGTACAACACATGAGGAAAGATAATATTGTACTTAAATTAGGAGGTTTGGGGTTGTTGCATGTGTGTGTGGGGGGTTGTCCCATTTCCCAGATAGGATTAATTAGTATATTTGATTGTAGTATGCATAATTAGTATTTGGGTGGTTCTGGTCTGTTGTTGATTTGGGTGGGTTTGGCTGGATGTATGTGCGTAGAATTAATCCAGTTGGTGCTTTTGGCTGGCTGTTAGTCTGTATTAACTGGTTTGTGTATTCAGAGGCTGTAGTTTGTGCATATTGCGTATTCAGTCTGATTTGCACATTGTTGGTGGATTCCTGGTTTGTGCATTATTGTGTATATATGTCGTTGGTTTTTATTTTTAATGTAGAGTGTTTTGTCGTCAATAGTTGGTTGCGCTATGGCTTCGGAGTATTTGCTTTGGTAGGTGTATATCAGATAATACCATGGTGTTTTTAGGTCATTGGTATGTGCATGGCTTAGCCATGTTAGTGTGCATTCCCGGTCTATGCGTGTGATGTCTATAGTTTGTGCGTACTATGTCTTCGTTTATTTTCACGTTGTTTGCATTGTGCTGTTTTTCTTTTTGCATATAGAGGTTTTGTGGTTATCAATTTTTGATTTGTTTTAATTTTAATTGTTCTATTGGATTGTGCTTTGTTTATAGGTTAATGTAGTGTGTTATCAACATGTTTTTCTACTAAATAATACCATGGTGTTTTTAGTTCATTGGTATGGGCGTAGCAAAGGCGTGTGAGTGTGCATAGGTAGGCTTTAGTTTGTGCTTATTGCGTGTTCACTCTGTCTATTATGAGCTGCGTTTTTAGCTTCTTCGGTCTGCTTGTGATTGGTTTAATTCTCTTTGTTTTTGGGTGTTATTTTAAGTATGTTTGCATTTTTTAGTGGTTATTATATATTTTAAGTATATTCATTATGCCATTTGCAGGTGATGGTGTTCCTGAGTGCGTTGGTGTAGCTGATCCGGTGGCACCTTTGCCACATCCGGAAACAGTGGGAGTGGCCGAAGAACCCGATCGGCCGGCGACTTTGCCACAACCTGAAGCAGTTGAAGTGTCCCAAGCCCCCGATCACCCGGCGCCGGATGTGGATGGGTCAATGCGTATCTCTACTTCATAGTGTGCTTGGTTTTGAAATGTAATGCTTGGTTTTGTAATGTAGTGCAGTGTGTTATTTAAATGTTCAATATTGTACAAATTGCATATCAATGATTCACCGTAGTAGGTATAGTTTGATTTATGATCCATTCTTGTGTAATTTAGGATGTGTTACCTCTTTAAATTTTTCGTATGCCATAGCTTATTCATAGATTGTTATATCGCTTGTGCATATAGAGAGTTTGGTATATGCATATTGATATGTTTAGTATGTTTTATGTGACTTTATTTTTGTGGTTCTCAATTTTTGACTAGTTTTTATTTTAGTTGTTCTATTGGACTGTGCTTGGGTTATAGGTTAATGCAGTGTGTTATAAACATTTTTTGTATTAAATAATACCACGGTGTTTTTAGTCATTGGTATGTGCGTAGCAAAGGCGTGTGAGTGCATTGAAAGAATTTAGTTAAATAATACCATGGTGTTTTTAGGGTAATTAGTATGTGCGTAGCTGGCGCGTGTTAGTGTGCATTTCTGGTATATGCGTGTGTGTATATAGATTGTGCGTAATACGCTTTCTGGTATGTGCGTGTGTGTATATATATATATATATATATATATATATATATATATATATATAAACACCTGTTACTTTTCTTGTAAATCAAAATTATATATACAAGCAAGTTAAAAAAAAAAAAAAAAACTTCAGAACCACATAATGTGGAAAGACGATTCACACTCATGATTTCATATTCTCCTTAACAATTAATTTCCAGTTAATAATAAACTCAAAATAGAGATTTGCAGTTATATTAATTATATACCTGTTTAGTGTTTAGCTACGGAGCTACCGGCCTGACATTTCAATCACTCGGATCCGGTATTAATATTAACCAAAATATATTTAAATATTATCTTTATCAAATTTTCAATGTTAACAGTTACATAATCAAAGTACGCCGCAGTTCTCACTTGACCTGTTGAAGCACAAAAAGTCGAGTCAACACCACTTCCACTGAAGCTCGATCTCATAACCTCTCATATGGGAGAGTCACTACACGTCATCTAAACACAAGGTGCTTGGCTACTTAATTTCAATTCATTATGTTGATTTGTACCTTGCATAGTTGTAGTGTGGATAATGTTTAATTTGTGTATTATTTTGAAGTGACATTCATTAACCACTGCATGCACAGGATAGCATTAAAACACTAAGGTACTGATGAAGTAGACATGAATCAGCTCAATGGCTTTTTTGTATTTTCATTTTAATTTATTTCTCTCTTTCTGTTAGGCCTGCTGCTAGTACATAAGGGTGGCAATAACTGTTTTCTGTTCACTCGCAATAAACCATTTTCCTGTTCTTCCATTATTATGAACTCTCTGCATAGTCACTGTGATGCGTTCTGAGCTTCTCCATCACAGTACGTCTTAGTTTTATTATATTAAGAATGGTCCAATCTAAATCCTAAAATAAAACAAAAATATACAATAGAAAATAAAGAGATGTGAGGCAATTTTTACGTGCATATGAAAACTGTAAAGGTTAATATGTTTAGGGTGTTTATACGTACATATGTTGCATGAAATGAATTGCTCTACAGCAGCTGCACGCCACCTTCCATCAAGGTCAGAGTCCTCAAATCATCTATAAGCAGTCCCAAATAAATATGGCACCACTTATATGACTTTGCTTCTGTTATATGCAGTGGGTTGGGGTTGATGTGTACATAGCTATATTGCCAGAGCAGTTAGAGCACTGGGTCTAGAATGCGCACGAGAGCCAGGAGAAAATTGAAGGTAGCACACGAGAGAAGCATCGAAGAAGAGTTATAAAACCTGCAGAAAGAAATTTAGCATTAACAACAGAGAAAAAAAGGAAGCATATATAGAAGAAATTAGGAATTTAAAATTTGACTTTAATTTGAATTGGATCAATGCTTACCTGTATTCCAAGTAGGATAATAAGAAGAATATATATAATTACACATGGCAATCCAATCCAGGGTTATCAAGGCGTCGCCTAGGTGTCTGGGCGGTCACAGCCTTGCGCCTAGTCCGCTCGCCTCGCCTAAGTGCAAAATACAACCCAAAACCCCACAAAACATCAATCGTTATATCCTACACCACGGCGCACATAGCACTGTGCGCCGCGCGCCTCCTAAAACGACGTTGTTTTGGGATAGTGTTGGGAGGCGCGGTAGGAAGTTGCTGAGATTATGTGTATTTGTTCACAACGTTATGTGTATTTGTTCACAACGTTATGTGTATTGGTTCATACAGTTATGTGTATTTTTTATACAATTATGTACATCCGAATCAGAAAATTTGTGTGTATTATGTTAAGAGTTGATGTGTATTATGTTAAAAGTTTATGTTTATTATGTATTATATTAGATTATGTGTATTATCTTTTAAAAAGAGTATGTATATTTTGTTATATAATTATGTACATTCATGTATAACATTATGTGTATTCTAGTATAACATTATGTACATTATTGAACAGCGGGTTTTTTTTAAAGAAAAAACTACTGTCATTCACTAGGGCGGGAAATTTCAAAAAAAAAAATAAAAATTAAAACGACGTCGTTTTGCATCTGGGCGCATAGTGCAACGCGCGCCGTGGTGTAGGATATAAATTGCCACAAAACATACATGGGCAGAACCTACACACTAAGACGAGTTGACCGGTGTAATTTTCAGCCGGAGAAGACGCCGGAATCTGCCTCACGCGCCAGCGCGTGGCATCGGAGCAGCGGCACGGCGGCGGCGCGTGGAGGCTCCGATGGCGGCGCGATTCGAGCTCCGGCGTCGTCCTCCTGTTCCGAGCAAAGCCCACCACCTCACCCTGATATGTTATCAATAAATACTAGACTTCTCACTACTCTAAGAAAAACTATTCATCTTCTCAAAGATGACTTGAAGTAAATAGGGTTCAAAAAGGCTTCCCAAGACAAGATATTTCCAATATATACAATAAATACTAAACTTCTCATTATTCTAAGAAAAACTATTCATCTACTAAAGGCAACTTGAAGTAAATAGGTTGCCCAAGACAAGATATTTTCAATATATATGTATATATTTTATATATTTTATTTTTTTAATACTCATTGCCTAGGCGGTCGCCTAGTCGACTAGGCAGTTGGTGGCATCTCGCCTAGAAAGTCCGTCTTGATAACCTTGATCCAATCAGTAGAAACTTAATAGTATCCTATTAAAAATGTTAATTGTAACTTTTTTCCGAGTTCGTAGATTATTTTGAAGTTTCTTTTAAGTTCAATGGCTTAATTGCTATTTTCCAAATAGTTCAATGGTCTATTTTATATATTTTCCCTTTGTTTTTTTGGTATAATATTTTTCTGACGTTACCTTTTGGAACTGAAATACTTATTGATTTGCCTATGGCTAATTTATAAAATTGTTGCCAGGTTACAAATTGGAGCTGGTATACCCAATCTAAGAGTAAGAGAAAAAACAAAGGTAATTTGGAAGATATTTAACCAATGCTGCCCTACTATGGAAAAGACATCACACACATAATTGATGGGGCTATTCAATATGACAATTTTGAAAATGTCCAAGAAACCCATCTTCGCTGTCTTTGATTCTTTTTTTCTTTTTTTTCTTTTGAAAGGAAATGTAATACTTCATTAAACCAAATCTAAGAACATAGAGTTAACAAGAAAGGAGGGAGGATTATCAAATCACTTTGCATCATCAGGCATAGACAAGGATTCCCGAGCTAACATATGGGCAATCTTATTCACTAATCGCTTAACGAAAGTGATATTACAATTTCTAAATTGACTAATTCTCTTGGGTAAAACTGTAGCAGATAAGCAGTGAAAACGTGATCTCTTGGCTGATTCTGAAGAAACAAAAAATATCAAAGAAGCAGTTTTGCCAAGTCTCATTCATCCTCTTATGATCTTATCCCCTACAGCCCTACTACTTCAAAATATCTTCCCCCACCTTATCCTTTAAGGATCACCACAAACCTTGTCAATAAATTGGCACTTCCCTGCCTTCTTCACTGCCTCAACCTCCTTCTCTTCTTTCAAACCAACTACTCCTTGCTCACTCAATCATCTCAAAATGCTGCAGGCTGCTCTCTCCTTCCAACCATCAACTCTCCCCAGAGTCACACCATCCAAAACCTTAGTTTCACCGCTCCATTCCATTTCTGCTCCAAGAACCTCCCTGTGCCCCTCAATCAAAGCCACTGCAGTTGCCAATGAAGCTTTGATGGTCGATTACAGTTCCATGGCCTCGTAAGCAGCGTACATAAATTCACATGGTCTAACATTTAATTAATCCCCTCATTTTACTACACTAACCTTGGTCCGCTTTTGAATTGCAGTGTGTTTCCAGCCGAAGCTTGCGAGACAATTGGAGGAGATGCTTGCAATGTAGAAATGTATCCTGAAGTGAAGCTCGATTCAGCACCACGAAACAACATGCCAAGGACGGCATCAGAAGGGGTAGAGAGGGAGTATCTTGAGTACAATGATCCCAAGACGTAAGACTCTGTCTTCTGATCTGATGAAGCTTTATGGGTTGGGTTGTCATAATGAGGCAAATATCAATGGAATTTTTTTTTCTCTATGTTATGCATGTGCAGGGTATTTCTTGGAGAGGCTTGTGATGATCTCGGAGGAGAATTCTGTGAGCCTGAGTACCTGAGAACCTGAGTGGAGTTCACTAAAAGAGACCTTGTATATAAGATCTAGTCTGTCTGTTCTTCTCCATCCTTGTACTTATATATGTAGTGTATTTAAACGAGAGTTATATTATATGTTGAAATATGTATAGATGCTTATGATTATAAATGGCATGATGTTCTTATACTAGAAAACTAATTATATGTCAAAACAAACAATCATTGCCTTGCAATTCAGAACAATAGATCAAGTTCATCTATAACACATACCTTAGGGCAAAAACCAAATCAAAATTTGTAGCAAAAGGAAAACGTTCCTTAGTTTCATTGTTCTCCATCCTCAGTAATTCCTTCCAGTACCAAATACTGAAGAGCTATAGAATATTTTGCAGTTGTTATTCCATCAGATTTGCCAATGCCAAAGTAGTTGCTCTTCCTAAGTAGAAATGACCCAAAGCCGTCCCCTGACAGAGAAAGAATGCAGTTTTTCTAAGACACTGGACAAGCATTACAATAACATCAACATTTGGATAAGATTCTTAACACATTTATGCCCACATACGCCCAAGAAAACATTGGAAAGCTAAAAGCAAACAGGGCAAAAATTAAGGGCAACTGCTACTACTTCAGCCTAGCCTACCTTTAATTGTGTAAATAGAGGAGACCCATCTCTTATAAATGTAAAGCAACCTCGGGGAGTCACCATGGTGAGTATCAGAGAGAAGAAGTTGACATGGACTTGATTCTCTGTTGCCAGTATCATCGTAACTTAAAACCACCAAAGAGGAGAGAGGGTTTAACACTTTAACTGACATCATAACGTAGAAGGTGCAGTTTGCTCACTTGGCAGTATCAATGGCATTTCGGCACAGGGCTAAAGTTCGAACCATTGCCAAGTCCCTTCCTCTAGCATTATTGTACCTCTGTTGGCAATTTCTGAAGGAAGACAGCAAAATCTGAGGAGCTAAATATAGTACTGCAATTCAAAAGGTATAGTAAGACTGCACTAATTAATTCTACATGGGATTGATCGGGTTTAAAAAAAAAAAAAAAAAGTACCTTTCGTCAAAGAAATTAGCAAAATCATCAATTATAACTGAAACAGGGTTTGCATGATGAATGTGGAATGCAGCAAAGTATCTCTTAATTCCTTCATCATCATCTATATACCTACATGATTATCAGTGAAGAACACTAGGGATTATAATTTAAATTGTTTTGATTTTTGAGAAATTAAACAAATATAAGACTAGATTCTTGGTGGAGAAAAGCTGTAAATTCCATTTTTGTTATTCACGAAATCAAAAAGCAGGCAGGTCCTTACTTGATGTGAATACGTTGAAAAATGTCGGAAGAAGGATCAACGCCCTGAAAACCCCAATTCTCGAAACTAAGAACAGAAGGAAAAATGAAAGGGGGGAAAAAAGAGATGAAAGCGAGGAGGAGGCATACCTGAGAGAGAAAGGGGGGTTTGGTATCTAACTTGTGACGGCTGCAGATGAACACCACGGCGCCGTTGAACTCCATTGCCGAGTTCAAAGCGTACTGGAACAGTAACGAGGTTTTTCCTCTGCGCAAAATTAAATCAAAATTCAAGCTTCGCTGCAGAAAGAAAGCGAGTGAAACAATGAGAAATTATGCGTTACGAGGATGGAGGGCCAGAAAGAAGAATGATAGGGTCGTCACTGTGACTCCGGCAGCTGCTCATATCAGTAGGATTTGGAAGCGGAAAGAATCTTTCCACCATCGTCGCTCAACTTACTGCAATGCGGAAAGCTCAATAAAACCAAACCCTAAACCCGTACGAAATGAGAGAGAGATTCTAGCTTTGAATTTCAGATTTCAATTTTATTAAAAAAAAATCTCCTACTTTTCGTGACAAAAGAAAAAGTAGAGTGATTTTTTTCTATCTTCTTAACATTTTGATTTTTGAATGGATGATTTCTTCTTCTTCTTCTTCTTCTTTTACATGGAAAGGAAAGAAATAACGCAATTACATGTACTAATGAACACTGACGCTCCCTCTATAAAGTGTGATTGGTGAAACAGAAATCAACTTCAGCAAAAATGGTGCCGCCATTACAATTTCTAAAAGAGTAATGTTACATACACCTCCGATTTTCCTTTCCAAAATACAATACAATATAATCAATCAATCCATAGCATGTGGGAAAGGTTACAATACAATGGCATAATAGTAAGAAGTAGGGGCAAAATCAGGTGTTTAGTGGCGATTGCACCACCGTACCATTGCTAAAACTTGCAGCATCCATATTCATCCCAGATTCCTCACTCTCAAAGAAGGAATGATGAAGGGCTTTCACACATTGTTCTGCTTCGCTATCATTTACTATCAATGAAATATTCACCTGGAGAGACAAACGTAACATTGGATTCATTCCTGTCAGAAACCAATCGAGAAGAAGAATGAGTGAATGAATTTAGGGAGCGAGTACCTTGGACGCTCCCTGTGAGATCATCTGCACATTCACATCATTAGTTCGGAAAACTCTGAAAGCCTGCATGCATGCAAAACAAGGCAGATTTGATTTCCTATAAGCAACGCGATGAAGGATAAATCAATCTTGAATAATCACAGGAAATAACAAACAAGCACCTTCTCCAATATAAACGAAGAACACTGGACATTTCCAATAAGGGAGATTATCGATTTGTTTGGCAAAAGATTTACTACTGCAATTTTACCAAGCTCTTCAACAACATGATCAAGTTCCTGCTCAGCCAAGACACTAAAATGAATTACTGCTACACAGAACCAGGTAAATATTCTTCCTTAATCAAGTGCAAAAGGTTTATCCACTTCCACTTGCCTGCCGAATCAGTTCTCTGCTCCAGATTTTTGATGGATCCAGTGTCACAGATATACTGACTTCACTAGTCGCAACAACATCAACAGAAATACCCAAATCTTCAAACGTTGAAAAAACCTACACAGTGCCACCCAAAATGCCACTGCACTATTTAGCCTAAAGAGAATACGAAAACAAAGGAAGTAGCCACAAACTTTATCTTTCACCTTTGCGAGGAATCCAAATTGACCAAGCATGCGAGTACTAACTATATCTAGCATGGTTACGTTTTGCTTCAGGACTATACTGGTCAATAAGACCTGTCAACAAATTAAGATGTTTATGAAAGAACAAATATATGTTTGTGTCAAGAAAGCGTTAAGAGTTGAGTAATTCTAATGTAGAAACCTCGCTCATATCTCTGTTTTTAGTTATGATAGTACCAGGAGCTCTTGGATTATAAGAATTCTTAACCCTGACAGGAATATCACCCTCTCTAGCAGGTCGCATAGATTGTGGATGCAGAACCTGCAGAAAAGTAGGGTCGTTTAATCTTAAGAGGCATTTCCAAGTTCAAAAACATGCTTCCTTAATCAAGTTTTAGAAACAGATAAACTGCAGTGGAGAGATACAAATGAAATAGCACAAATATAACCTGAGCACCAAAATATGCGAGTTCAGTTGCCTCCTCAAAGGTCAAATGAGGCACAGGTTTTGCACGAGGGTGAATAGTAGGATCACAAGTTAGAACACCATCAACGTCTTTCCAAACCTGTTAGTATGGAAACCATAACTGAAATTTTTTGTTCCTCAGGTAAAGGATGAAAGGACAATATAGCCTCAAAGTTGAAGGTACCTGAATCTCCCGCAAGCCCAAAGCTCTGCCAATTGTTGTTGCAGTCAAGTCACTACCACCCCTACCCAAAGTTGTAATTTCACAAGATTTAAACCCCTGCAATTCGAAATCATTATACAGCAACATCCTAATAATTTTGTTAGTGGAGTAGCTATGTATATAATACATTTAAAATTTTTAGCAACAAAAGTCAAATTCACTAGTTTGTGTAAATGACCTTTCCAAGGAAGCCAGTAACAACAGGAATTGCATGATCTCTGACCCAAGCGCTGTATAATTTCTTAGCAACTGCAGGATAAGTAGCCTCCAATATATCTGCATTTGTGAAGTCATCTGTTGTAATAAACCCGATGTCGAATGCATCATACTGCAACAAAGAAGGAAATATGCAAAATCAGTCCGCTTGAATAATTGGCAGCAAAACATCCTGAGCAACAAAAAATTCAAGTAGCACAAAGCAACCCAATAATACTTCAACAACACCCCAAAAAAAATATCTTTAAAACGTCCTTCATAAAAACTAGTTACCATATTTTTGTTGGCATAAGGGTTAGCTATGATCTTGGATTCATTTTCGGGTTAGTGTTATATACTGATTTTGGAATTAGGAGAACCACTCAGTAATCTGAACACTTGTAGAAAGTAACTCATAGTGATTTGGTAATGAGAGTTAGTCAGTCTACTGCAGTCCTGAATAAAATCCAGTAACTTGCAGTCTTAACAATTGAAAGAATAAAGTTTGTCTGTCATGGTACACAAAAAGAACTATCACATTATTCCTTTCAAAACTTTCTCAAACAATAAGTTTATCAAGCAAATCTGAGAAAAAAAATCCCCAAGCAAGGGGTTAGGGAGAAACACACTTGCTGTGCTTTGGCCCCAAGCTTGTTCAAATAAGCAGCAAAAATCCTGGTGGACAAGCGCTCCCCAAAAGACACTAATTTGTCTTTAGTGCGAAGAGTCAACTCTTTCACCATAGCTATCCCATTCAAAAGCTGGTCCAGTTTTTCCAAATGTTCTACAAAACGACAAAAAAGCACAATAAGAGCAACAAAGGTGGAACACAATCAAAGCACATTATGAGAAACCAACAATATGTTGAAGCAACCGAAAATCATTTAACACCAAGGGAATGGATGGGAAGTAAGAAAAATGAAACCTTTAAGTTACCATATTAAACAAGCTGAAAGTATACATCTTTGCAAGGGAAAAACAAATCCATGATTAGTTTGAAATAACTCAAATCCTCACCAGAAATTATAGAAACATCCAGTCCAAGTTCTTGAATTGTCCTGAATTATAAAGAACATATACATTTTTGTAAAGTTGCAAACAAAATATACCATTTGGTACTGCCATCCACTCTACAAGAGGAGAAAAAAGAATCTATAATTTCTTCACCTGAGATGAAGTTCCTTTAGAGAGGTGAACTCTTCAATTTCTGATACATTTGATACACCACAACTCAAAGCCTTCTCTCCTGCCTACACATAATGGGAATTCTATATTTGATCAAAACAATTAACCAAAGTGTCAACTAAACTAGTGTGGTGACAGAAGAGAAATAGAGAACTACATTTCAGGCAAGTTACCGCATTTTACCCACTGAATTATGTTTCTGAAGATGCTTAATTTTCACCACTCCTCACAAATTTCAAGACTGAGATTTAATCACACGATATTGGCAAAACCTCTGGTAGTAATGTGAAGTCAAGTGCAGAAAATAAAAGAAAAGAAAAGGCAACATACAAGCAATAGGTTATTGGTGGTCTTTCCCATAGCAGAGAGAACAATGACAGGCCTTTCCTCCGGAAAGCTGAGGATCAAGTCAGCAACCTCTCGCATCCGCTCAGCAGACGCAACCGACGACCCGCCGAATTTCATCACGCAAGTCAATTGCGGCCCGTCATTGCCTCTGTGTCCTTTTTCTTCTTCTTCTTCAGGCGCATCATCCTTCAAGACTGATTCTTTGTCATGGACCCGCACTTTAAAAGTTCTTGGGCATGGGAAATCAACCGAGATAGCTGAGGGAAAAAGCCTGCGAGGTAAAGCTGCGGAATCGAAGACTTTGAGGGTGTTCGCTACGAGGGAGACAGGCGGTGAGCGGGAAGATCTGGCGTTGAGGCTAAATTGGTGGCACGGTATTCTTACAGTAAAGTAAGCAAGAGAAATTGGCATTTTTGCTAAAAAAAAAAAAAACAAAACTTCTCCGATGAAGTACAGAAGCTGTATGGAGCCGACGAATTTTGTTTACAAGTGACTGAAACGAAAGTGTTAGGGTCGTCTGTACAGACTGTACTCTGCAGCGAACGGAAGACTGGGATTTGGGAAGAAGGAGAAAGTGAGAGGCGAGAGTGGAGGCGCTGAGAGAGTGAGAGGGCTATAGGCGATAGTGGCGGCTATGGTTACATTATTAGATTGTACTCTTCCCAAACTAGGAAATAACCCAGGGAATACACCAGAATCAATCTCAGTTATAAGTTTATAACTAGCATCACATATCCAAGTACCTTGTGGTCCAATGGTATTCCGGTTGCTCCCCTAAATAATTCCACATGAAGTAATTTGGTATTACACAATAATATATGTAATTTATACATATACATATATAATTTATTATTTATAAAAATTTAATTAAAATATAATCAATCATTAAATTAATTATATAATGATTTTAATAAAATAATAATTAAAGAATAGAAAAAAGATATGATAGATATAGTTGTATGGTAATAATGATAGACTTATCCATATTAAAATTAAAAAGTATCAGTGTTATAATAATAATGGTATAACGGTAGTTTTGTCTAATAAGGATGTAGTGGGGACAATTTTGTCAAATAACATTGAAGTGTACAACATTTAAAATAAAATGAAAGAATCCGATCAAAAAATAACAAATACAATAGCATTTTCGTAATTATCATCAACTTCATTATACAAACTTAAACATTTAAATATGTCATCTTTAACAACTACATATGCAAACCTGATAAATTTTATAAAATCAAATAAAAGCTAAATTTTAAATCGAAACTGTAAATGCTAGATTTAAGTAGTAAAAAGTGAACCACTAAATCAAATAAAGTAAAAAACATTGTCATATAAACTCTAAGTGCAATGCATTTTGGCATTTTTGCAAGTACAATCTTTTAATACTTAATATGCAAAATGTTAATATTAAATGTGCAAAATGTTAATACTAAACGTGTAAACCTGAAAAAGTCTAAGAATTACAGATTTTAGTGTTAAGTTTGCCATAGTAAAGTTGGTAATAATTACGAAAATGTCAATATATATTTTTTTTATTTGATATGATCCTGATAGTACAAATTCCACGTGTTAAGCGGTCAAGGTACTTAATACGATCAAGTCAAAGCAAATAAAGTCTGTTATTGATCAAGAAGGACCTAATACAATCTAAATTATTATCTCGAGGGCCGACTGACTGCGGTCGGGCAGCTCTGTAGATAATATATCGATCGTTCCAAAAGTCCCCCACACTATAGGCGTCGTGGGTACTTATAGCCGCTAGGCTGGAGACACAGCTCCGGCCGCCCGGCATGTAACCCACGTAGCATCCACGCGTCACCATCCCGCGAGCCCTCTGTGTCAACGTGTAACATTGCCACGTGCCTCTTCTCGAGATCCTTAACAAGGGTAGCTAATCGGGCGGCAAAGCCGGTCGGTCGGGAAGTCCACCAGTCAGGTCCGACCATCTTCTATAAGAATATCCGACCTGTCAAACCTGCACAAAGAACAAGAAAGTCGAGCCATGTCGGTCGGGATATATCCTACCAAAAGCCCCCCAGCCCGGGCCTTTTTGACTGCTTGGGAAAAAACGGGACGGGATGAAAATGTCCAATCACTCGGCCTGCAATCCCGACCGGACAGCTGTCGCTTGTCGTGCCACGTGTCGGCCTCTGCGCGCCTTGGAGTCTGTAACGGTCGCGTCGCGCAAGTGGGTCGTTTCCCGCCCAAATATTTTCCTATAAATAGGCGCTTATGAGGTTCATTTGAACTTTTACCAACCCGTGAAAGGCAATCGGAGCATCCCGAGCAAATTGCACTGTGCATCGATCGGGAAAACAACTTTCAACCCCTTCAATCAATCGTCAGTCGATCAGTAAGCTTTCTTTTCCCTATTCTTTTCTTTTATCTTTTACTTTACCCGCACAACGGCTAACTTCGGCGGCCAACTAACCCCAACCGAACCATAACCGACCCCACCTGCTGAAAACATGACCGTCTCCTTTAGGAAATGTCGAGCTCAGACAGTTAAAATATCTCGGGAGCGGATTACGATGATGCGGTCGAGGAGCTTAGCGCGGAAATAGAAATAGAGGCATCCTCGCCTGAAGGTATCGAGGTCGTTCAACGACCATCCAAGCGTCACCACTCTTCCAACTCAGAGAGCTCCTCAGGGTCGAGCAGTTCAGATAGCTTGAGCAGCGGAAGTGACAGCAGCAACGGCACCTCAGCAAGTGGCCAAGGTAACCCGGTCGAGGACGTCCAGGAGACGCCCACACGGACGATAGGAGCTTACCCCAGGGCTTTTACCTCAGCCCACGATCGGGAAGCCACACCAGACCCAATCGAGGAAGAGCCGACCGCACCGGCCGTCGGACCGGAGGTAATCTTCCTCAACAGCGAAAGCGTCGATCAGCAAGAATGCCTGCTGACGACCGGCGAAGCGGCTAGGATTGCAGAAAGGCTGAACGATCGGGTTCGATTCGACACCCGCCGATCCTTAGGAAATATAAAGGAACGCCACCAAGGAAAGTGGATCAGGATGCATTACGATTCCTTGTTGGCCCCGATCACTTTCCCTTTTTCCGGCCTCCTAACCGCGTTCTTGGGCTATTACCGGGTATTGCCCGCCCAGATATGCCCGAACGCCCACCGCATCCTAGCATGCTTTCTTCAGATATGCGCTCGGCATGAGGTCGCATGCTCGATGGAGCTCTTCAACTTCATCTACCAAGTCAAGCCTTTGGCGGCGAAGTATGGGGGCGACTTTTTGATGATTCAGTCCTGGGCTGACCTATGTACGATCGACAATCTGCCTGGGAACAACCGTGGATGGAAGAAATGCATCTTCTCGGTCGAATACGACCCTTGGATTCTCCCGGTCGAGCGGACGTGGGCAACGCATTATACGAAGCAAGTCCAGCCGGTCGAGACCCAAGCCCTCCGAGATGCAGTCTTTCGGATCTCCAGTGAGATCCATGAATACAAGATTTTCCGGTCGAGGGAAAGCTATGACGCCACCACCCCAATACGACCTGGAAGAGAAGTACAAACCCCAACCAACGGGCGTATCGATATCGGTAGTGGTTTCTCGGGCTAAACCGAGCAAAAAAGGTCTAACACGCATCTAACCTTCCCGACCAGAATTTTCCTGATCAAAACTTTTACTTGTTGTTTTAACCGTGTGATTTTATTTTCAGAGATGGGTCCTCGACGTAACTTCCCATCGGGCAGCGCACCCCGAGCCCCCCGAGCCAAAATAGCGCTCGGGAAGAAGAAGGACGATACCGGATCATCCGGTAACAAAGAAACCGAAAGCGAGCCCATCCCGACCGCTCGCCCCCTAGGCGCTTCCACAGCAACCACGGCTGAAGGGGCCGTGGTCGAGGATTCAACGACCGACGTCTTGGTCGCTCAAATCGTCGACCACAAAGGGAAGGAAAAAGCGACCGTGGTGGACACGGACGAGGGGGGCGCACTCAAGCGTCGACGAAAACAAAACACCCCCCCGAGCGGAGCTGTTACGGGCAACGACTCCATCCTCACCCGGATCGGCAATCTCAAACCGGTCAAGGAGGACCTCAGCAAGCTTTCGCCCGGGCAGGTGGCCGAGAAAAGCGGCCATGACTTGGTCGAGGTACAATTTTATTACTTTGTTAATTTCACAACTATTGCCGCTCGAGCTAACGTGTTTTTTTTTTTTTTTTTTTTGCAGCTATCCCGAGCGATCCAACATCTTCAGCGCCAAGCGCTATTGGCCAGTGAGGCCAACGCTCTGAAGAAGATCGCCGATCGGCGAGGGAAAGAGGTCACCGATCTTCAGGACAAGCTGAAGACGACTGAGAAGGCCTTGGCCATTGCCGAGAAAGCTGCTGGGGCGTCCCTGAAGGAAGCGTCCGACCTCAAAGCCCGACTGGGGAACCTTGAGGGCCTCGCGAAGTTTCTTTGCCGCAATGAAGCGTCGGGTGAAAAGTTCCTCAAGGAACTAATGAAGACCAAGGTCGGGGAGGACCTAATCTGGCAGTTCGGGCACTGGGCCTTCAAGTCCGGTCAACGAACCATGCGGGAGGAGACCCGATCCATCATGGAGGAGGTCTTCGAGGGTGACGACTTGAAGTCCGTGCTGTCAACCCTTCCGGATGAGGTTGCCGACCCGGGCCCGACGCCCTTCACCGAGCCATCTGATGAGGACCCGGCCGAGGCCAGCGGCGCCGAGAAGGACGCGTACAAGGTCGTGTAGTTGCCAACCACGTAAACTTTACTTTTGCACGCTATCGGGAGCCCGGTCCCGTTTTGTACCGGGCACTTTCATCGTTAAATAAAATTAAGTTTTTGCCAAACTTTATCTCGTTCGACTTTTACGATTTCATCTAATCACTTCTTGGTCATTCTTTGCCCGACCCATTGGCCCTCCGGCCTTCTTTTGACCGAGCATCTTCCCGACCGCTGGGCCGCCTGGCCTCCGCTTAGCCGCTTGGCATATTGGCTCTTTCCCCTAGCCCCCACACTGCCGTGCTCATGAGGCACGAGTGAGTGCGACAGTGGAAAGAAGTACTGCTGATCGGGTATGTATCTTGAAGCTCTAATTTTCCAGATCGATGGCGTGACCCGAGTGTCCGCCGAAGATGAGCGTTATAAGCCGAGCGTTGTTAGTTGTCCGGCTAGAATGTAAATGACTTTTCAAAGCCAATTAGGTGTATACCCCTATTGGTCGGGACCGAGGGAGAGGTGTGAACCTTTATCAGTTGTAACTGAAATTAGACCCCGGTATATTCGGGCAAGTTTAAGCGACATTGTGATCGTGGGGCTTACGCCCCTCTTCGATTGTTGATGCTGAGTCTCGGTCGGGCGAAACACGAGCAAGACCAACTTCTGAAGTAGATTTAACCAAAACTACTTAACATATAACTGTTGCGCAAACTGATCGGGCCGCCGTGTACAAACGGTCAAGCAATCACCGATCGATATTACATTATTAATTCCCGTACGTAGACGGTCAAATATTTACAACCCTAACAAAGGCAATTAACGATGGACATGCCCACTCGCAGGTTGAGCCCCCACTCCATCTACAAGTATATAATTACAATAATGCCTAAACAGTACAAGGTTTTCCGAGTTCCATGTGCCCTCGATCGCCCTCCAGGTCGTCGTCTCCAACTGGTAGGTACCTGGACGGACTACGGTTGTGATGACATAGA